GTCTTTTTCTTATTCATCCCCCCCCCCACCCCCACGTGGCTGGCCATACCACGTCCTGCAACCCTTCTGTGACCTCTGTGAGGCGGAGCCTAATTGGCCCCCTTGTGCCAAGGGAGCTAACCCCTTCGGGCCCCCCCCCCCAGCCCCACGGGGACCTGCCAGGCTGCCCCAGCTCGGGCCCACGCGTGGCTCCTGCCCTGGCCTGACCGTGCCTCCTCCCCTCTGCTCTAGGTGGGGATTCACCCTGGTCCTGGACAAGCAGCAGTGCGTGCACGCGCCTCCTGTGTGCCCTGAGTGTGTGCACTTCTTTGTGCGTGCACGCGCCTCCTGTGTGCCCTGAGTGTGTGCACTTCTTTGTGCGTGCACGCGCCTCCTGTGTGCCCTGAGTGTGTGCACTTCTTTGTGCGTGCACGCGCCTCCTGTGTGCCCTGAGTGTGTGCACTTCTTTGTGCGTGCACGCGCCTCCTGTGTGCCCTGAGTGTGTGCACTTCTTTGTGCGTGCACGCGCCTCCTGTGTGCCCTGAGTGTGTGCACTTCTTTGTGCGTGCACGCGCCTCCTGTGTGCCCTGAGTGTGTGCACTTCTTTGTGCGTGCACGCGCCTCCTGTGTGCCCTGAGTGTGTGCACTTCTTTGTGCGTGCACGCGCCTCCTGTGTGCCCTGAGTGTGTGCACTTCTTTGTGCGTGCACGCGCCTCCTGTGTGCCCTGAGTGTGTGCACTTCTTTGTGCGTGCACGCGCCTCCTGTGTGCCCTGAGTGTGTGCACTTCTTTGTGCGTGCACGCGCCTCCTGTGTGCCCTGAGTGTGTGCACTTCTTTGTGCGTGCACGCGCCTCCTGTGTGCCCTGAGTGTGTGCACTTCTTTGTGCGTGCACGCGCCTCCTGTGTGCCCTGAGTGTGTGCACTTCTTTGTGCGTGCACGCGCCTCCTGTGTGCCCTGAGTGTGTGCACTTCTTTGTGCGTGCACGCGCCTCCTGTGTGCCCTGAGTGTGTGCACTTCTTTGTGCGTGCACGCGCCTCCTGTGTGCCCTGAGTGTGTGCACTTCTTTGTGCGTGCACGCGCCTCCTGTGTGCCCAGTGTGTGTGCACTTCTTTGTGCGTGCACGCGCCTCCTGTGTGCCCAGTGTGTGTGCACTTCTTTGTGCGTGCACGCGCCTCCTGTGTGCCCAGTGTGTGTGCACTTCTTTGTGCGTGCACGCGCCTCCTGTGTGTCCTGTGTGCACTTCTTTGTGCGTGCATGTGCCTCCTGTGTGCCCTGTGTGCGCACTTGTTTGTGTATGCACGTGCCCTCTGTGTGCCCTGTGTGCACATGCATGTGCGAGCATGCTAATGTGTGTGTCTGTCTGTACACATCTGTGTGCATGTACAGAGCCTGCTTGTGTCTCCAGCCAACCCTGGGGCAGCGCTGACTGTGTGGGGTGCAGCTGGGCCCAGTACCCAGCCAGTATCTCCTCTGGCCCCACAGGTCCCTGGCATGTGCAGGGCAGGCCGAGCTGTGGGACTGGACCACCAGCATCCTGAAGGCTCAGGTGAGTAAGCGCTGGCGACCAGGTGTGTGGTAGGCTGGGGGGGGTGGCAGTGCCAGGCAGGGAGGTGCCGG